AGAGATTCTGCAATTAGTTATAAAGTTGCAACTTTGACTTAAATTCAAATTCAAATTCAAATTCAAATTCAAAAAATCGAATTTATTCACGTAGTGTTAATAATCACAATGTACACTTGTGATTCGTCATTAAAGAAATAAGTATTAATGCTTCTAATTTTACATTTACTGCCAGTTCTCAAATCAAGGGCGTAGAACGGAAGAGAAGAACTGGCAATAAACTCTCCGCCACTCTTTTTAATCGCCATGTTTTTTTTTTTTTTTACACAACGTATGTAAGGAGCTGCAACCTATTTACACCATGTTTCCACATGACATTTTTAATTAATTAATAATAATAACATAAATAAAAAAAAAGACTTGTCCCCTATCAGCAGGAGGCATGTGAAATAGACACCACTAATTCTCGTGGAACAACACGCAAACGAACATATCGAAATAATTAACATCTATCATTAAATCGCATAAATGGTGACACTTGACAGGAGAGCTCTTGACGTTATAAATCGGGTATTCATTTAGTGCCAGCACAAATATATTTTCTACGCTCTGATAAATGTTTTTAATACAGTAGCTCTAAAAGTGGCGTATTGCACGACGTATGGCGTTCGGGATGTGGGCCAGCCACTCGTGCTTTCCTTTTCCGACTAGTGCGTTTTCTTTCCCAACTGAAAATAATTTAGTAAAAAGAAAAACCCAACCCGAGTTACTGAAAAAATTCATAGACGCCTCCTATGATTCATAATTTCAAAATAAGCTACTGCTTTGTTTCAATATAAGATTTAATGATTTGCATACAATGAGTGCGACAGTCAGGTCTTCATTTCAGTATCAATAAATTGTACTGAAGACTTGGCTGTATTGGCATAGTGCCCTTTGCCTACCCAGAAATTTGTCGAAACTCTTTGCAATGACAGGCTTTCCGCACTTGTAATGAAATATACTATTACATTATTTACTTGATGCAAAATCGATGACGATTGAACGACGTATGGTAAGATTTAATCCAACGAATTATTGATAAAGCAAAACATAAAGTACTTAGTGTTGTACGTAGCATTACTTACACGAAACATTATGGTAATTACATGAAGAGAATCTCGTAAGTACTAACTAGTTTATCGGAACGCAGTCTGTTTTGTAACATTTCTACCGTCACAATTTCCTCACAAGCAATTTAAACTTGTTACTTCATTTCAATATGAAAAGAAAACTTTTACGAGTTACGTTATAGGTAGTAAATACAGATTATATGATGTTTAGTATGTTATCTAAAAAACAAAATTTGGTAAAATAATTTTATTTAAATGCGTTGCGTAAAGCAAATACAATATTAACTTCAACCTCACAAATAGTTCGCCGACTAACGCTGCCTATTCAAGTAAATATACCTTAGGTATTAGGATACGTGCCTAAAGCTTAAGGTATGCAAATATAAATACAAGTACGTTTGGCAAGTAACGGTCGAATATTGATGAGACGCCAGGATGACTTTTCCAGACGATGAATTTGCGAGTTTGTAAAACGGAGAGGTTTTTATTTCATATTCAAGTGAGCGCAAGAGAGCAGTTTACACTTCATTGAGCTGTCAACGAGAGTTAAGATGCCGAACAATTAAAAAAACATTTTTTTATTAACACTTATAGCGAAGCTCACAAAGATTAATTTTTTGTTTTATGTGAAGCAAATATTTAATTTAAACTAAACTGTTTTACTTCATGAACTTTTTTGTCAAGATAGCCCTCACGAACATTTATATTATATATGTTAATAATTTAAGAAGATATAGTAATAAATTATACTAATATAGACGGAACACTGTCTATATACTGGTAGTATGTGTATGTTTAAAAGAACATTTTTTTATATATATAGCTTTATAACGTTAAACAACTACGATATAGCATTCGATATAACGTCTTAAGGTCAGTACTCATATGGTATTACTCGATAGTTTTACTCGAAGTCGAGTAAAAATCAACGTGTGGACCGCAAAACTCACAGCTCGAAGGCTCGCATGCTGGCTCCATGGAATTAAATGAAAGTAATTTCCTTCGAACCTACTCGAAGCGAGCCGTCAATCTTGACTCGAACGTATGTATACGTACGTGACTGCGAGTGGCGCGAGGCGAGCGTCAGTCTGGTATTGTTTATCGTGATTGAAACACGTGTTTTTAAGAGAAATGGATTTGCGAGTTTATTCCAAAAGCGCTATAGAAGACTTTATACATAACACATATAGACAGTGTGAGTGTTTATGGAATGTCAAGTCCAAAGATTACTCCCACAAAAATAAGAGTAATGAATGTTATGATAAATTACTAGCTGTGCTTAACGTTTTTTCTTTTCATTTTCTTTGATTTTCTTATAAAGCACTGTGAGACTTGATAAATACAGCCACCGTCTCCTTTATTGCACAGACATCCTTTGGCTCGAACGGTTCGGTGAATACTGAACGGCGCGCCTCACTCGATAGATTAATGCTCAATGTGTGGACGAAAGCCCATGCCATGGGTTTTACTCGACAGTTTAGCTCGATCGAGTAATACCGTATGTGAGTACTGACCTTTAATTATAATTATCGTGAATAATTCAATATTTTAAAACAATAATTTCTCGTTGATGACATTTCTATTTTATAAATAGGTATTTAATATCCAAACCTTTACGACCTTGTTAATGGTGGTTAAAGAAAATTACATTTAACAAGCTTATGCCACGAAAATTGATGGTTAGCGGCAATAAACCTTTATATTCCGGTCACTTAGCATAACATTTGTTTCATGTTTAGAATTTTAATTAAACTGTGTAGGTGAAACCTTTTCTAATTAACATAAAATCAATTTAAGTCAACATTTATTAGCAAAATTTTTAACGAACATTTTCCTACAAAACATAAATATTTTAATTATAAGTTTTAAATTGTCTTCTTCTTCATCTCAGTCGCATTCTTCATTGCTGAAGGTCACGGCACTGAAGGTGCCTCTAGTCATGCTGTAGTGATATCTGTCCACTTTATTTGGTCCAAAGCTTCCCTCAGCGCCGGATCTAGAGGTCTGGAGGCCTCGGGGCAACAAAGGAGTGGAGGCCCCAAATTATTTTCCAAATAAATAAAAAAAAAATTCAGTCGAGTTTTTAAATCAATTATTATTTATTGTGAAATCAAGTGATTTCTTTTAGTATTTAACAAACATTAAAATATATCAAAAGAAAAGTTGTTTACTAGTGTTAACTTTCGAAGTCTCTTTTGTGTAGAGGCTGTAGCCCTTAAACAAGGCCCTGGCTTCCCTTAGCGCAGCTAAGTTTAAACTTCTTTTTGTAAAATTATATCGTTACTGGACTGTCTTCATATTTATTTCACTGTTGTAGTCGTCAATAGTTTCAAGGCCATTACATATTGACAAACGACACAACATCATTTTATTTCCAAGAATCAGTTCCACACTGATTTTCCCTTGACATAAATCAGATAAATTGCATATAAATAAAGAAATATTCATTGGTGCACAGCCGGAGTGTGAACACAACCTCAGATTTGAAAATCGACCACACTACCACTAAGTTTATAATTTACATATACATACATACATAGTTACTAGTTTCGCTGGTAGTAACATAGTAGTTGTATTTATAGCAAAGAACAATAAAATAAAAATGGAGGATTTGAGCTAATCAGATTATCCACAAAAACCATAAATTTTCGGAATCGCTAAAACATGACGACTTTGCATTTTAAATGCCATGATAGATAGCGCAATAAATTCATTCAAAAATGGCTTTATAAAGCAGTAAGGTACTCGTATATGTATGATTTGTACCCTTTAATACTGACCTGAATTATAAATTTTATCTGACACATGTGATCCTATCTAGCATAAATTGTGGGGTTCTATATTAAACATATTTCCAATTCTTTGGGGATTTTTTAAATTCAATTTCTGTTGAATATAAATTAGAATATAGGCTAGAGGCTCTAAATTAGTCCATTTTTAACTTTACGTTGGTACTACTCATTTATCTACTTCTATTAATTGTTATTGTTTTAAAACAAAAATATTATACTTGTTTCAACAACCTCACAATATTTATACTATGAATTCATAGAGTAACCCCAGAAAACTGTATGGAACATATTTACCCAAAAATGTTATAACAAAAATCTTGTTATTTGTGTACAAAGTCTTCAAACTTGTTTCTTGTTATTTTCGAGTACCAGGGTATAATAGTCCCTACTAAAGTAGTTGAGAAAAGGGATATGACCAGTCCTTACAAAGTTTGCTCAAGTACACTTGTTCAATTTATACTATTAACTTCAAACAAAACACACTCGAACAAAAGAAAGTTAGTATGACAGTATTTTTATTTCCTTATTTGCAAATACATCTTCTATTAGTACATTTGAACATTAACCAACCTACCTTTCTTTTATTACGTAAGTCGCAAAAACTCCGGGACAATACGAAGTGTTTTGTTTCACTTTCATTGAATTTGGGATTAACAAAGTTTGCTTCGAGCAACTTACCAATAAGGTTAGAAACACATTCAAATTAATTAACAAGAAAACTTACGACCATGTAACAACAAAAGAGGTTCGATGTGAGAATATCTTAAAATATCAAGTATATCAGAATTATCTAATGATTTAATATTTCAATAGAACTTTTTCAAATATTCCAAAACATGATTTAGTCACAAAACAAGGGTATCGGAAATTACACAATTTACCACTTGAACTAGATTATTCTACAGATAAAATTAATCGAAGTTCCTATCTATATATTAACTTTTCGAACGTGGGGTATCAATTTCAGACTATGCAGGGTAACGCCAATTAAAAAAAACTAAATAACTACAACCAACTACTTAATTTAGGAATATCCCAAGTTTCCTAAAAGATTTTAGGATAACTGTTACATAGACCAGGGATTTACGTAGCACGTACAACTTTTCTTTTACCAATAAGATGAATAAAAACTTCTTTTAAGTCAATAATGTATTCTTTACTTGAAATTAACACGTGTATACAACATCAGAACAATACTATGTTTGTCCGTTTGATAGTATTCAGGTAAACTCTCAATTTTCTTAATTTGAAACCATTTCAAATTGTTTTTTATTTTCAACCACAAACTGTTAATATCCGATGTCTCATTTGATTGCATTCTACTATCTGACCAATTCTCGAGAATGTTAAATACTTGGCGATGTTCCGAACAGACTTTGTGTTTCATAGGATCAGTTTTTGCGTTTCTTGGAAATTTGTAGATATCACAAGAAGTACCGCAGTCAATTGTAGATATGTGTTCGGTATTCGTGGCTTTGCTTTGAAAGTCGTTTAATGGGTCACACTGGCTCGACATGTTTTGTCGAAGTTTTGTACGTGATCTAACTTGTATAAGTTTCGATTGCACTTCGATTGGCTTTTTATCCGACAATTCGGGATTAAACGTACAAACTTGGACACTTTTGTTCTTTTTAAGTATTACTTCTTCGGCTGAATTATTGGAGTCTGGAATATTTTCTTGGGTGTGGCTTGCTATGCGGCTTTTAATTATATTTAACAACTCCGCTGACGGATCGTTCACAATTTGTGCAATGCCCCAAAGATAGCGAGACATGATTTATAGGATTCAAATGATTTATTGAAATAATAAATTGTAGTACTGATTGCCAATATTCGTCGGTAGTGACGTATGTCATGTCTAGGAGCAATGAAGAATATTTTGAATGACTTGGTCTCGTCATAAACAAGAAAGAATTGGATTAAATGTCTATTATCATTTTAAGTTTTGTTTCATTAAGTATATTTTATTAGTACTGAGAATTCCATACGATTAGTTCGTAAAGCTGAAAGTTATACTGCAAACTGGAAGTTATACATCTTCGCTAGAAATTCTCAACTAAATTGCTTGTAAATTGAGCCGAAGTTACCTTATTTGCTTTAAAACTTAACATATACCGAGTAAAGTCAATCTGTAATCGTATTAATCAGGTCGTACTCAACACGAAAAGAGTAGCGTTTGATAAGTTCGGTAGTAGATGTGAACGACCAAAAGAGGGACAAACGAAAACAAGATATTTTATAGAATTTATAGTTAGGCAAAAGCGGTTTGCTTATTGTTCAGAGCAAATAAGCCATCATTGATATGATCTGTTTTAGCTATCTTACCAAAAACACAACTCAAAGCAATACAACAGACTTGTATTTATAGATATAAGTACTAGATCAACGCTTATATCGCTACAATAGTTAGTAATTGAGTGGTGAGAAAGTCAGAGGTCCTAGTTTGTATTAAAAGTGAAACCCACACAATGGGCTAGTCATTGCTTTAAAAGTTGTCAATGGTAAGCACTCCCCCGCATCATACCTCGTAACCACTGTTACGAATTCTAACGTTCTTTTTTTGCGTCTGAGTCGCAAACTAGTTGCTGTGGTCTCTGGCAGGCTGACCAGCGCTGTGGAACATTCTGCTCCTCAGCATAATGCTGAGCCAGGGCCAATTACAGCAACAGCACACACGCTTTATATACTTGAAACGAACCGAATGGGAAAAGGGATTTTTTTTTATATCTCCCATTATATTTTTTTCTTTGATTATTGTTATTTTGTGTGTTTTTGTTACTCATAAATGTAGTCTATGTCTATGTTACGAGCCTTAAAACTTTCAAATCAGTAAATCAGACTCTAAAAAGGAATTAGCATAAAGTGTTGACCGAAACGTAAACAACAGGTTGCCAGTGCGTTGGAAATGATACACTTTATATTGCTCGGCGTTTGATAGTCGACGATCGATTATGGACGAGAATATACGACACAATATACTTTTATATCACAAAGTTACTGTGAAGCACTTAAAAAGACCAAAGATATAAACAATTTTAATCTCAATAAAACAAGTGCAAAGTTTTAGTAAGCCTTAAAAGAATCTAGTCTATAAAATGTGGTATTATTGTAACAAAACTACGGACGTATTAAAGAATTATATTTCGTCATAACATGATATTATCTCGTAATAACGTTATTATTTTTATTTATTGAGTCTAGATCTAATAGCATGGCTAACTAAGCAAAGGGAATATAGCTAATTAATTCTTAAAACGCCATTAATTATACAAATAATTAATATGAATTAAGATAATAACTGTTCCGATTTTGTGATTGCTGAATACGTGTTCGCAGGGTGACTTAGTTAAAGTATATTTCCTTTTAAAACCCTTTTTAAAAATGATGAAGGTAATGGATAAACCGTATGGTACCGTAATGGTACCGCATAAACATAGCTACATACTTCATAGATTTGTCTTTTATGAATAAGCTCAAAGCGGCGATACTTGATCTACTACAAAGTTTGTCTGAAAGCCTTTCGAACCCTATTTATCTGTTCCAGTAATATAAATTACTGTATTAGAAAAAGTGATTTATATATTGGTTCAAAGCATTTCTTATGAAGCCTTTACGCGTTTACTCAATATTTGGGTTGGCAAAAAGGGATGTTTGTTTCAGACGCCACCTGTATTCAAGAATATTGGAATATATTTTCTTGTTGAATATAAATGACCAGCGTTGTAAAAAATGTTTCTTCATTTCTGTATAAAGATATATTTACTAAGATAAATAAAAAAACTTAAAAAACTGTCAGTGAATTTGTACATCGCTGTTTTTATTAAAATTAATAGAAAAAAAAAGTTTGACTGAATAATAAATTATTTTACAGGCAAGATATAGTATTTTAATGTATATTTGTTGCATCCTATAAAATAATCCTTATTATTTACTTAATACTTTTCGAGTGCTTAAGAACAAGATTCTACTAACTTTGTTAAAAACCTTTTAATGCAATATTTCCTACCTTGAATTCCTGTCTTCCAAACTTAATAAATCCACAGATATTGAAAAAAATATAAAACATATAAATATTATACTAGTATTTCAGTAGTGTATTTGAAGTTGTTTTTCAGAGTTTTTTTCAGATTTTTTCAAGTATGTATATAAATATATATATGTATACACACACTATAAGTTAGCTATAAGTAAGAATTGTGGAGCTTTCCTCTTCGTAAATTAAATAAAAACAGTCAAACCGAAATCATTTTTTATTGGGACTGCGGGCAAACGGTGAGTCACATAACCGCCGCCCATGGATGCCTGAACATCAGGAGGTTTGCAATCGCGTTGCCGGCCTTTAAGGTTGGAAATACCTGGAATGACAGCTGGTTATTCAAAAGCTTTCGATATACTCGTAATATAATGAAACATCAAGAATGTTTATATCTAGATAAGAGCACTATTCGAGACGGAAAGTCCCCCGTGGCATGAAAAATGCAACGTAAAACATTCAGGATCAAAAAACGCTTACGGTGAGAAAACAAAAAGCCAATAAATTGGCATCATTAATTCTTAGTGACATCATAATATGGCAGGAAGTCGTAACGTACTCGATTATCTTTAATGACATACACATAATATGTATATTGACACACACAGTACAGAATGTATAAAATTTCCAATACAAATAAGTTAATAATTTCCTATTGAATTTTTATTTAGAAGTGTTAGCAACTAACGTGTTTGTAATGTCAACCAGAAAAAATCTTGTCTTGCCAGCATGCGATGAAAAGAAGCATCTTGAAGGTTGAGTAGAATTAACAAAATAAGAAATGTTGATATTAAAAAAAAATTTTTTTTTTTGACATACGCAAAAATACAAATCTTACAGATGCAACTAGTACACGCTATAACGCTCAAATGGAAATGGGCAGGTCATATTGCTAGAGCGCACGATAGAAGATGGACGCTGAAAATAACAGAATTGGCTGGACCTACTGGAAAGAGATGTATAGGACGATAAAAGAAAGGATGGACAGACGACATTATAGAATTAGGGGAAAAACTAGATGAATGTTGCTCAAGACAAAGAGACATGGAAAAATATGAAGGAGGCTTTTAGCCTTAAAGGGGCCATACAAGAACTACACTACTGAAAAAGAAAAAAAGAAATCTAACATATTTTTTTTTAAACTCATACCAACACAACTAATACTAATATTAAGGAATGTAAACTAACCAACTGTTGTATGGATTAATAAAGCTTCAATAATAATAATAACGTCTTTTTGTACTCTGAAATACTACTGATTTACATTAGTTTTTTGTAAATCGAAGTTCGACTGAACGCCAAAAACAGACTGTTTTTCTTAAATTCACAATAAAATTTCGCGTGGAAAATTTCCCAACTTTCTTGATGAATCAGTAATGCTTTGACGAAATATTGTATACATATTTCATAAAAAGGCACTTCCTGCTCTTATTTAAATTAGGGGTTTCTTTAATATTGGAATAGATTAAATAATTATTATATTAATGACAATACAACCCTATTCTTTTGTTCATAGAGTTATAAGGAAATACATTTATTTCATACGAAATTAAAGCTTGTTTAAATCTCTGTGTGTTTTACTGATTGCTGTTGAACATTCGGAATACTCAAACATTATCTGGAGCTTACTACCTTAATTTTAGTTACTCATTTTTAACTAAATAATAAATTTTTATATATAGAAATAACTTAGCACAAAAGCTTTAGTTGAACAAAAAAATATATTAAATTTTTAAGTGTTTAATTTTACCTTCCATTACAACTTATTCCTTTTTGCCTTATGCGATACCTTTAACATATTTTTACTTGAAAGTAGCCACTTTACAAAGAAATATGTACGACTTCGATTTCTCATTGAAACCTGAGCACAATACAGCGGAAAGCTTTGTATAATAAATGCAAATTTTTGTTTTTTTAGTCCTCGCCCATGTTTATAGAAAAGACCCTTTGTCTACTCTTTCATTACTTAATCTCGAGGAATTTAATTAGTTCATTTTAATTAGGTCTTCTCACGCCTGAGTGAAATTAAAATGAAGTAATTGCAATCGAAGTTTACAATAGATACTGGACGTTTTTGTAAGTAAAAAAATTAACACAGTTTTAACACGAGTACCTACATAATATTTAATATGTGTTTTTTAAAAGCTAAGTACCGTTTCATCCACTTTAATTAGGGTCAGTAGGTAAACATGCACAGAAAATAGAATAAAAAAAAATATTGAGTTTTATATTTTTACAGTCAATACCTTTAGTTGTATACGCTGTTAATACTGATATATTATATGTATAGCCAAGAATATATAAAATAGCGTTTGACTAGTTATTTCCATATAAAAATATTTCTAAATTTATCCGGCTTTTATTCTGAAAAATAATTTAGCCTTAAAAGTTCGCTTCATTACCAATTCATGAATGACGTGTTTAAAATAACTTTGATATTGAAAACGGCAAAACCATTTCAGAACTACCTCATTCGCTTGGAAATAAATTCATGATTCAGGAAAGCATACTTATAGCTTTTGAAATAACATTAGTCCTGATTTAATGGTGGAGTTAACGAAATAACTTAAGTGCTTATTCGTTATGTCGGCAATCATATCACGCACAAAAGTTCCCGTATAATACGAGTACATCGTTTGTATCGGCCCCACGTCTCCCTTTGTAATTAATTGGAGCTATCGATCTTAATTACGCTCACGTCCTTATTTCGAATTTAAATTTCTCTCTTTAATCAGTTACTT